TGATGAACTTCACAACATGAGGATTTTATATTTCAATGTAGCACAGGCTGTTTTTGAACCACACAAAGCAATATAATATAAAATAATATAATGCTTACTTTAATGTCAGAAACCTCATATGTCAAATATATCAAATATGCCACCAGAAAATGGTCAAACATGAGACATGACATCTTTCATTTCTAAACTACAAGTAGCTTTGAAGGAAAGATATTAGGATACATAGGGAGGTAGTTATTTTAAAAATTGAAGATCATTTTTCTTTCAGAATTTTTATAAAACAATTTTTTTCAGAGGTATCTTTGTCTGATAGCTTTTCAATTTTGGATAACATGATAAAAAGAATTTTCCCTCCCAGGATTTGCAAAATGCATACAGAAAAACCCAGATTATGTTTTAAAGTTTACCAAGGTGAAGCATAATGTGACCATAACTACTAAGGGTTTTTATATTATTACTGCAGTTTCTGAAGTTCTTTAAGAATTAATTCCTTCCTTTTTAATCAGCAGCATGTAAAATGTTAATTAATTAATAGACTAAAATGATCTGAGAGTCCCTCTATCCATTGACCATAACCATATAAATGGGATGCTTTTTCACTTTTAATGTTTCAATGCTTTCTAAATTGAGATCAGAGTGAAAATCAAAGTAATTGATGTGTACAACACAGCTGTCAGCATATGGTGCTATGAATTATGTACACCTTTTAGCAATAAACTCAGAACACTGAATAGATTGTAGATTTGCCATGTCTGGTAAAATTTAGGTTTAGTGGGCTACTCTGGTCATTTTGTAGAATCCTGAGGTGCCCAAATATCTGGAAACATCCCATTGTCTTTTCTTCTTCTCTTTCGCTTTCTTGTTTTCTTTCTCTCTTTCTTTTTTTTTCTTTTTCTTTTTTTGCATTTTTTTCTTTCATTCAAATCCCAGACTAAAATCACCTTCCGAAAAATCAAAAGTCTGGGGAAAGAACTCCTGTTTGATTTGCAGATAGTGTATTAGCTACATCATGGAATAAGTTCAAATCATAATTATAATTTCTGGTTAAATTATGAGCTCTGAAGCAATCATTTTGTATTTTTAAGTTTTACCTTAAGACCTCCAGTACCTAGTCATCTACATAATTTGGGTTTGATTAATGGCCTTTGAATTAATAATTCAAGATAAAGTGGGCTTGAATTTCTTATTTTTATTTTATTTTTCTTGAGAGTTTTTTTCTATAGGGTATGCATGCTTGGCGAGAGACAGAGAGTTACAGAGAGACAGAAAGTGATAAATGACCCCCTTATGTTGTGACTTAGACATCCTAGTGATGATGGTATTGGACTTGAGCCAAACGGGCAGAAAAGGAAATTTGCTCACTGAAGTATACATAAAGATTTCATCAAAGGCAGATTTGTGTTACCAACACTGGGGACAGAAATTCAAAGCCATTAATATTTTTCTGTCTGTGTGCAAAGTTCAAGTGCGTATGCATTGTCTTTTTCAGGCCTGGCATGAGGTTCAATGACAATTCAAAAGCACATCAATAGCTTTTCAAGTTGAGTCTCAAATCACATGGTGGTGTGCTTGTTTCAAATTCCTAGCCAGACTCAGTTTCTTATCAAGCAAAGTAAATTACACTGTTTACATCAGTTCTGTGGTAATTTAATCATGCAATAAAAAAAAAATCCAGTGAACATTAGCTTATTATAGGTTCATACACCATTTTGTAATTCCCTTTTTTTTCTTTTTTTTTGGTCTCTCCACTCATTTACATAAAATAGAAATCTGTATAAGTTAAGTTTTACTTCCTAATCAATAGATTTTTGCAAAATGAAAATTTTTTAAAAAGGTAAAGAAAGGCACTTTGTAAAATATGTACAAATCTGTTTCTTCCTTGACTACTCTAAGAATATAGGGAAGTTAAAGGCAGGGCCAGGTCTTTCTGCAAGTGATGGATAAACAGTGGGCAGCTCACAAAGAGTCAGATTTCCTCCAGCGCCAAAGTGCTTCCTAGAGCTCAGGTGCCTCCAGGTGCTCCTTAACTAGGGATTTTTCTAACTCAGTTGTGTTACCACAGGGCAAAGGGTCAAACTGCCTTGATCTGGTACAGGCAGTCAGGTACTGACCCCTAAAGATCAAACCAGCTAAAGTGAATCTTTAGTACATAGCTGACTACAACTGGTCTTAGGCACTTAGCAAAACATAGATTCTGTTACATATCAAGGACACAATGAATAATAACTTGTGCTCATATTCGAGTACCTCATATACACTCATTAAAACTGATCAGAGAACATTTTGCTGATTGGGGCATAAGCTTCCATAAATCACCCATTGACTATATCCAGTTTTGATGTGCTTTATAACTTGAACATTTAGTATTTGTTTATAAAAATATGACTTTTTTTTTAAACATAAGGTTCTTTAAGCCAACTGTGCAATAGCTGTTTGTAATCTATGATAAAAGGGAAAATCAACAGCTAGAGATAAGAAAAGAACTTCAGGGCTCCTGACCTCAGCAAGGAATGAGCGTGGCTTGATTGAGTCAAAGAGCATTTTGTTTTAAAGATTAATGCCTTATTCAAAATGTCTCTTTTTCTTTCATGTCTCTTCTCATGTAATCCAAGAATATAATTCTCTACTTATATAATTAAAAAAAATTTGATGGAGCTAGTGATTTAAAAATGAAGCATAATGAACACATCACTGAAGATTACTTTGTATTTCCACAATGAATAGCAATTATTTGTTAGTTTAATTAAGATATGAGGCATTGGTTTGAATTATCTTTGCAGGAAAATATTCATTGAGTCATAGTATCAATGGAGTCAGAATTAAAAAGTTTCTTAGAGATGATTTGTTTCAACATCTTCATAGGGAACTGAGGTCTAGAAAAGGGAACTGATCTCTCCAAGGCAAAATATTTCCTACTACAAGCCAGGACAATATGTCCTTCCATTTGAATAGCTGTCTCCTTGATAAAAATAATGTTAAAGCATGAAAAAAAACCCCTTAATTCAGTAAAGAGTGCTAATCAACAGTAGAATATGGTCTTGACTTTACTCAGTGAGTGGCTAATTAGTGTTTCTTAGAGAGTTAGTTTTGGTCTTCAGCCACAACATTTTTTTTCAAAAGCATTTGTCAAAAATATAATAGATTATTTTTAAGTTTTATAACTGTAAGAGTGATTGCTTTGTATTTATCTTGGAGAAGACTAGACTATGCCAGGAAAGGTTTAGTCTGTATTGGCTTTGAAGATCATTTGATAAATGCCTCTCCAGGTAGGCTGTGCTCCTTGGCCCTTTTGGGAGCTGTTTATACTTTGCCATTATTGTCTTATGTGAATCCGTATCAGGTTCACCATTATGTCAATCTTAAACCACTAATGGATTTTTCTATTCCTTCTTAACATGTAGTATTATTTGTTTTAAGTCAAACAGACTTGATTTGTACTTTCCAAGAAAGGATTGTTTCCATGTACTAAAATCACCTTTGCAGAAATGATCTTCTAGGGCAGGATTTCTCAAACTTCATTATGCACTTGAACCTTCTGGGGGTGTAAAAATCTAGATTCTGAATCTGAAGGTCTCAGGTGGGACCCAAGATTCTGCAAACAGAATTTACAAACAGCACCCAGGTGATATCCATGCAGTTGGTTCTCAGATACTTTGGATACAGAGGATTTAGGGAATTAAATAAGTTTGAACCACTGCCCCAAATGCCTCCCTCAGTCCTAAGAGGTTATTTATATGGTAGGAAAATGGAACTTGAGATCTACACTTCGGCAATTCTGGAAGCACTGCAGTGTGTTCACTTTCAAACATCTCATTGGGATCTGAGTCTAGTTCCTGTCAATATGGGCTTGTAAGTTTGGGATGCTGAACTCAGAGAGGTGATCTCAAGTTCTCCGTGCACAGCTGGTGAACAACCTGATTTGCCATTAGGTTAAATGAAAAACAGAGGCAGGCAGTTTGCGTAGTAAACAAGTCATAGATGTTCCCTTCAACATGGAGATCTGAACTTTTGACTGGTGTCGGGGAGCCTGTCCTTGGAACTGATTTGGAGAGTTTCAGTACCAGATCCTAATCTTTGGAGCTAGTCCTATCACTCTGCAGATTCCTGGTTTCCTAGAACTTTTATTTAGACCTCTGATGTGTCTCTGCTTTTCCAAGATTTTGCAAATGGATCTACTCCAGAAAGATGCTCACTTCTGGTTTTGCTTAAACACTGTTTTGTTGCCCAAGATTACTTAGAAAAACCAAACTAAACCAGACTTTTCTCTCTGAAACAGCGTGCTACAAGTTACCACTCGTCTTTTTCATTGAGTTTTATGAAGACTACGTATAGATGGGTAGAAGACCCAGAATAGTCCTACGCTCACAGGAGAAATAAATTTCTTATCTGTGGAGAGATGGAAAACACTAGTATGGCAGTGGTTGTTGTTGCTTAGACTATATGGATAGAAAAGAATAAGAAGAACAAGATAAACTACACTACATTGTGTTGGAAACTGAATTTTGTAATTCACGCTCTATTCCTCATTGGGCTCTGGGTTGGTATGGCATTTTACTCCACTAACATGGGAGGCATATACTACTATGTACTGTAAATGCTCTTTGCAACTTTGCAGCAGAAAATACTGTACCCACTGAATACATAAACAGCTTTACTGGGAAGATAGAAAATAGTCTTTTATTTTACCTAAGTGATAGAAAAATAGTCTTCAAAAATACATTGTTCAACTTATGGGTTTCTATTAAAGTAGAATTTGTATGTACAGTAAGGCAGCATTTCCATTAGCATCCTACTGTGATTATTTTTTAAATTAAAGTGAGTTTTTGGGATTTTTCTTTCACTAAGAAAATACCAGGGTATAGAACAGGAATATAAACTATTTATCATGCAGAAATCAAGCATGAAAACATTCTAAAAGGATTTATCATTTGAAGTTCATTTGCCTTTTGTGCAAGAAAATTTTACTTTCCAAAACTATATTCCTCTAGATATTTTAGAATGAAGTAAAATTTAGGAAGAGAAACACATGCTAATGTATTCAAACTGTTTTATGGGAAAAATCAGAGGCATTATTTTACTTTCATATAGACAATATATCAGTAAGGTATAGAAACTGATGTAAACAATTCATTGGGCGTTCTGGAATGCATTCTTTCCTTAAATGTGTCATCTTTGGGTAATCTTAATAAAATGAAAGGAGTATAAAGGTTAGACAATTGATTTTCCAAAGTAGTTTTCATGGTATTTTCTATGTATCTGTCAAATCCGGTGGTAAACAATTTTGATCATTTCCTTCTGTCATGTACCAAACCATGAAAGCCTTTTCCAGAGGACATACCTATTGGCTCTGTCCCTCAAGAATACTAAGCAATGTGCTTTTATTTCATTGAACACATAATATAACTAAAAGCAAAAAGTAAATCTACAAATCACAGGGAAAAAAATGATTTGTTCTGGAGTCCACTGTTAGAGCAAAAGACAAGTGGTTGAAAATGGAGTATTTAAAAGAGCAAACTGTGAGCTTTAGTGGTGTCATCCTAATCACATTTTCTAGCATTCTCTAGTGGATGGCATGTCATGTACTTTGTAGTGTCACCTGAAGAAAGATCACATTTTAACCAATCATCTCATTAGTCAAGCTATCAGTGAGAGGAGTGCATGAAACAGGCAGGATCCAGGTACTCCAACCCTCCCAGCTGGAGTCTGCAGTTGCTTTGTGTTGCAATGAAGCTGGCCTGGTCTTTTTCAGCTCGATTCTGTTGAGGTGATGGTGAAGTCTCCTTGGCTGATTCTTCAAACGAAGCCACCTGTTGAACTCTTGGGTCTTGCACTAAGACCAGAACGTTGTGATCCATAACCCTGGACACCTTAGCATACTCCTTACTGGTTTCAGGAGCCTCAGGCTTTTCTGTCTGGTCACTGTTCTCTTTTTGTTTTGGTAGTAGTGACAGAACTCCATCTTTGTTGACCTTGTGAATTTCCACATAATCGAAGGGTTTAGTAGAGATAAAGGGGGTTTTCTTCTGAGGCAAAAGCCATTCTGTGTCTTGCTCAGTCTTGGGATGGAAACTTCCCACTTTCCTCTGCTCAGCTGCCTTTTCTTCCCCTCCAGTCTCAATGATGTTAGAGGATTCTAGAGCATCTTTATCTGCTTCATCCAACAAAGTGGCCGGTGCATCTGCAGTGCCCCCAGCCAGTTTACACACATCTGTGATGTCATGGTAAGAAGATCGGAGGTTGTGCCAGCCAGGTTGTGAGAAAGGCCATGTTGAAGATTTGGATCCATCCCGGTGGAAGTAGGGAATTGTGCCTTCTACACTTATGCTCTGGGGATCCCAAGTGTGGATAATATTTGTTTCAGGATTCTCTGATTTCTCAATGATCTCAGGATGGAATGTGAGTGGATTGGCCTGAGATTCCTCACACTTCTCTGACCAAAGAGAAGGACTGTCACAGCTTCCCCGGCCAGAGTCATTGTCATTATCCAGGTGGGTGGGCTTCATACCTTGCCCTGGGTATTCTTTTGAATGGGCTGGCATTAACTGCTGGACCTCACTGTCATCGACATCTAAAAACTCCACTAGCAAGTCTTCACAGTCAGAAGTAGGAGGAAAGTCTTGGCATCCTAAGGCACTCAGTAGTTCTTCAGACTTGCCCTTCTGTTAAAACACAGACACAGGAGAAACAGCTGTTAGTGTCACAACATTCCAAATCAGCATCACAGCTTAGCAGTGTCTGTTCATTGCCATGAGCAGATGGGATGTGATAATAGCCTAGCAGAATTTCCCTAACTTCTGACATTTGTGTACCAGACTATCCATAATCACCTCATGGATATTCATCAAATATTTTTCTTTAAGTCAACTCATATTTTTTGTTTGTTTGTATGTTTGTTTGTTTTTAGGGTGTGTGTGCTCACCAGATAGGACAGAAATAGAGAGAGAGACAGTGAAATATCATCCCCAAGAGGGGGATGACTATGTTGTAATCCCTTCTCTCAGGATTTTGGCCACACACAAAGATGCCTGGCATGATTTTCAAGGCATGGGGTGCAGGACTTGAACCATGGTCAACCATGTGAAAATCTAGCCACCTTAACCACCACACCATGTGCTAACCCCAGTCAACTCATGATTTTAACTTAGTCTCTTTCTAAGTAAAAATGATCATGAGCTTAATGGGCAAATAGTATACAACAGCAACAAACATGTAACTATTAATAGTAAATAAAAATGCTTATGAAACATCCATAATCCCTGTGCTCATGAATAGATATTCACTTTATTTTTCAATTTGGTGCTGACCGGTACACTTGTTCTGAGATGTGGTTGCTGGCCCCTGCACCTTCTCCACCACCTTCTAGAATCTGGTGGTATTAAATGACTCTCATCTCTTCCTTTCCTTGCTGTTCCTCTTCCTTCTCTACCTCCCCAACTTCCTATTCTTTTTATCTTCCCTTCCCCTACTTCCACCTATCCCATTTTTCCTTTTCCTTTTCTCTCTCTCTCATTCTATTTCTTTCCTTCCCCCTCTTCCTCTCTATTCTACTCCTCTTCCCCTTTGTCCTCTCACTTTCCACTCTACTTCCTGATCATCTGATTTAGGTCAGGTGCTGATGTCTAAATCTTGGCTTTGTTACATGTTATTGGGTGTATAAGTTTGGAAAAATTGCTCTCTGAACCTCCATTTCACTATTTGTAAAATGAGAATAATACTTCCCTCTGGGAAAGTACTTTTGAAAATTAGAAGTACTGTAATTAAGAAATATGTTTATTTTTGATACAAAAAATAGCTCTTCTATCATTAACTTTCTGTGGCTAGAAGGTTGAAATGTGAGCTAAACAGTAGTTAGCTGAGACATTCATGATGGTTCTTTCTATAAAGGTCAATTCTAGACTGAATGGTGGGGCATTGAACCTATAGCTCAAATTCTTTGGCTGTAATCTCTGCTCTGATATTTGTGACCCAAGCAAATGCAAACTATTAATAAAACCTCTGGGACTCACTTTTATAATAATATGCTTTGCACTGTTGCCCTCATAACAGCTGGGTCAAATAGAATTTGCTTTTTCATATAGATAATTGCTTTTATAGCTATCAGTGCTAAGCTTAACATCAAACTGAAACTATTTCAGCCTGGGAGAAATTAAAAATGTTCTAACCCTTCTTTTAATTCAAAATAAAATTAATTTCTTTTCAAATCAGCCTAAAAGGGCCCTGACAAATAACAAATGCCAGCCCTTACGGCACTGATCTGATCTCAACTGGGTGCTTAAACTGAGCAATAATTATAATAGGATATTCTGCTACTGTGGCTTCGTGTAAAGGACATTGAGATAGAAGCTCCTCACAATGCAGGATGGAGAGGGTGGTAATGTGTTCTTACTTTGTATTAATCAAAATATTCACTTTTTTTCTAAACTGATAATTCATACAAAATGTTTTTCTCTGTACTTATGAGTGGACCTTGCAGAACAAGAAAGCATTGCTATGTATTTCTGTGTTTTCTCAGCTTTCTCTCCTTGTCCCCCGACAAGAGTGCGGCAGTGAGTATCCTCATTATGCACACAACTTTCTGTTGACACTCATGCAGATGAGGAGAGACAGCAGGGGAAGGACCACTGAGGCAGCCAGACTGAATGGATGGGCATTGTGTGTGCATGTGCAAGTTAATTATTACAAAGTCATGAGTCTCACTACATTCTCTGTCACTGGCGCTTACCTCTAGTAGGTGAGTATCAAATCCTTTTATTTTTGGCCCAGGAACTGGTGGAAAGATGCAGATCATCATGCTATAAAATAATTTGTAAAATTGGATAAATGCCTCATTTTCTCACTTTGTAATTTTATAAAAGATTAATATTATCTCCAAATAGCTGCTACAAGGACTATGGTATATAGGAGTTAGCGTTCTGGAGCTAGCTGAAACTAATAGTAAATGAGGAGGAGAATTAATAATTACAAGCACCTACATGAAAATCTACTCTGGCTAATGAAGGAGGCTGGTTTTGAAGTTGGTAGATTATGTAGATTACCTGCGTCTTTTGATTTTGGCTGAGTTTGCTCTGTTTGAAGGAAGAGCATCAGCCTCAAATAAGCCCATTTTTCTGTTTTTTTTTTTTCAAGCAATGATAAAGGATTTTTTTATTTAATGAGTGAAATAAATTTTTTATTTAATGAGTGAAATAAACACTGTAACTAATTGGTAAAAGGAAGTCCTTGAATTATCTGTAAGTTTCCATATATTTGTGTTATCTTTTTCTGCCATTATCCTGACAACCATGATTGGGAGAAGGGTTGAGAGACAGTGAAGTACCTATAGCCTTTCAAAGCCACTGCCCAAACCACGATCAAACAGATGACAGCCGAGAGAATGGCCACAAAGATCCACACCGTTGTATCTTTCGTGGTGAAGTCTAAAAAATAGTTAGAAAGCTTTGATCACATACAGCATCATTATCAACCAACCAACCTACCTCATGAATAAAACTTTTGAACTCAAGAGATTTTGTCCCTCTTTAGATTTAAACTGCAGCCCAGAGTACCATTAATGACAGGTTTAATGTTATTACAATATTATTCATATTTTAATATGTTACATATATTTTACAGTATCCTGCAAATTTCTGAACTCCACCTCCCTTATTCTTTTTTTCCATAGGGCATGTGTGCTTGCTGGATAGAGAGAAAGATGGAGAGAGGGAAAGTGAGGAATCATCTTCAGGAGGATAGCCACGCAGCTCTCTATTTTCTTCCTGGGATTCTGAGCATGCACACACTCCTGCCTGGCATGATTTTTAAAGTACCAGGTCTGGGACTCAAACTGCAGTCGACCATGTAGGGAGCCTAGCACCTTAACTACCACTCTACCTGCTGGCCCCATCATATTCTTTTATTTGGTCCTTAAAAGGAAATTCAAGATCACCTGGCCATTTGCAGTACTACGAATAAAAGTTAACATTTACTTCATTCTTACTAAAAGCCATCAATAGTACTAAGATTTTTGTATGCATTGCCTTGTTTCATAAATGAGGAAACTGAGATTCAAAGAATGATTTACATATGGAATGTAAATATTGAGTTGAAGTATGGGTATTGAACTCGGGCCTTCTATCTCTACACCCTGTGTTTTTATTTAGTATGAGCCAGGGCTAGACCAGATGCAAACCTCAACTTGCCTTTCAATGTTCTTTTCAGTAGACAAAGCCAATGAAAGTCAATACTTTGGCCAGACAAGTTGTCAGAAGTGTTAGACTTTGCCAAATGGTTCTGGGAAAGCCCCCTAATTGTGGAGATTGGATATTTTCACTTCTTAAAAATTTATTTTATTATTATTATTTCCTTTTATACATTCAATTGCTATACATCATTTAGCTTGTGGAGAGAATTTACCCAACATGAAATATACCTCAGACCAGTCCAGTAGAGGGATTTTTTAAAAAAAATTTAATGCCAATTTTATTTAATGCCAATGCTTATTTTTAATTCCTAATGCCAATTGTATTCTTTCTGAATACCTGAGAGGGTTGGGAAGACCAAAAAAGGTAAAGACTTTTTAAACTATAAAGTACTTTAGAAATGCAGGGTAAACCATTGCCCCATAGAATACAAGCCACCACATTTAATGGCACTCTGTTAGAACTGACTACATCTTATATACTGTGACTTAAGAGACCAAGGAGTAATCCATATCAGAGAGGATACATCCATTCATGCCTTTGAGATGGGATACCACCTTATGAATTCTGGGAGAACTCAATGAACTTGACTAGACCTTCAAAATAATAGAAATGGAGCAGGCAGGGAGGGTAGAATGACTGATCATCAAAGCCTCTGAGACATGCCAATTCCATGTCTGCAGCCTTGTTCTAGAAACTTGTCCTCATTGACAGTGACACAGGGAGCAATGCAATCCTTCCAAATAAATGTCTTTGTATCTAGTAGAAAGATTATAAATCCATCTCTACTTATTCTTCAGGCTACAGCTCAAAATTATTCACATGTGTATGTTTACATTTAAAAAATATTTTGGAATATAAGTAAAAGGTAGACAAGACACTCACCAATAGGTATCTGAACAGAGCCCTCTTGGCTCCACTTACTCCAGTATCCATGGTCCGGCTTGCAGTGAACCTGGACAAGGTATTTCTGTCCTGGATATAAACTCCGGATCTTGAACTGTGTTTGCTGCCCAGCAAAATGGGTCTAAATAGGAATAGGAAAAACGATGTCACTTCTGGCTTTTGTACTGAGGAGAGAGAATTCCTCTAAACAATAAACTACTAGAGGAGTTCACCAGCTGATCATACTTGTAGAGGATCACCTTTTCTCATCATCCCACCCTCTTAGCTCCATCCCTTTTGTCTTAAAAATTGTGCACGTAAAAATTCAACAGATCTCTCTCTACATTTAGAACTCTATTTGAAAAAGTCAACTATTCCACCTCCTTAACTCCAGCCAGTCAATAAATGTAAAGAATAACAAAATGATTAGTTTACAAGTCCTAATCAAGTAATTGATTTAGGGATTATTAACTGGTGTTAAAAATACGAGGTGGATGAGAACTGGGTATTCTTTTATGTTGAAGTAATAGTACCCAGATTTAACAAAGATTTTATAATAATGGAATTGGGTTGTCATCGCCCCAATCCAGGGGTCATTTTAGACTCATTTATGGTAGGTCAATCAGATGGTTTTTGTCTCCTGAAAATGATACAATATGAAGTATATAGTGTCACCTCTGAAGTATTCTGGCCCAAAATTGTTCACACAGAATTAAATCAAGTCTTTAGATCTAATGTCTGATTACAGGAAATAAAGGGACAGAGAAATTACCCCCACCCCCATTGGACAAATGAGGATGGGACATTATATAGGACAAAAGACCCACCTCTTGAGTGCATTGAAATGAAAGGAATATAACAAGTGGCTACAAAATGTCATTCTGGAGTAGATTCTGGCTTGGACAAACTAGCTGTTAAAGGCATTTGGGGGTGATGGGGGGACACACAGTGGTGCAGTAATAATATAACTGGACTGATATGGGAAAGATCCTGAGGACCAGCAGATGGCATAATGATTACATTGCTGGACTCCCATGTAGTCAATTGCAGTTTGAGTTCTAGATCTGGTGGCTTAAAACCCATGCCAGGTGTATGTGTGTGCATGCTCAAAATCCCAAGAGGGAATGGAGGAGAAGGGATTGCAGCATGACCATCGCCCTTGGGAGGTACTTTCTCACTTTATATCTCTCCAGCGAGTGCATGCACCCTATAGCAAAAAATCTCTCTCTCTCAAAAAAAACAATCCTGTACTTCCATCCTAAGGCCTCATTGTATGCAGGGAACACATATGCACTAATGATCTTGGCTGGCTGAGACTGGGAATGGAGCAGGGCATGAAGACCCTTGTTCCAGGTGCCTTTCTCTTTCTCTCTCCTCTGTTTCTCTCTCAACAAATAAAATTAAAAATAGATATTTTGGAAGCAATAGAGGGAATTAAACTTTGAATTGACTGTTAGATGATATTAAGGAGTTTTAATTAATTTTCCTATTTATGATTCTATTATTTTTGGTATGTTTGGAAGTTTTCTTTCTCAGAATATACATATACTAAAGTATTTAAAGGTGGAATATCATAATGGCTAATTTACTGTATTATTTGTTTACATTAAAATATGTTAAAGTGAATACAAACAGTCACAGACTATGGACATAATGCACTGAGACATCATGTAAGTACTCTCAGAAGTGTCTAGCTATAAGCTGCACAGTACTTAGATGGGAGGGGTGAGAACCTGGGGGATGAGGCTGTGCAATGCAAGGCACTCGCTCTGGGAGAGCTTTGAAGATGTGCACCTTCAGTCCCCATAGAGAGGAGAAGGTCTTTTCACACCTGGGTGGGTCATATCTGATGATGAGGCCAACATGGTGGCATAATAATCAGGAGAAATTACCTATTTTCAGTTATGAGGGGTTCCTTCTTGCTAAAGGATATGGTTCCTTCAAAAAGCTTCTGCTGACTCACCTCCCAATCAGCTGCATTCTCGGGTTTTAATCGAATTTCATACTGGAGTGAGAGCCAACCAGACCTTGTATCGACCACGGTAGGTGGAAGCCATTTTATCAACAAATAATCATTTCTGTCTTCTGGCTGTTTCACTTCCAAAGTCAAGTTCATAGGAGGGTCTGGTTCAACTGTAAATATAAAAGAAACCCCAGTAGCAATTAATGTCCACTAATTAATAAATGGAAAAATGAATGAGATATAGCCACATATTGCATGATTCCAAACATGTGAAATATCCAGACTAGGCAAACAAGTAGAGACAGCAGATTAGTGGTTGCCAGGGACTGGGGGAGCAAGGAATGGAGAATATGTGCTTAGTAGAGAAGGGATTTCCATTTAGGGTGATGGGATTGGAGCTGGGAGCTAGCACTAGATGATGTTTGGATGGCACTATGAATGAACTAATGCCAATGAATCACACACATTAAAATGACAAATCTCATGCTATTTGCATTTTACCACAATTGAAAAAAAAATGAAGGGATCATTTCCTCTCAGACTCCTGAGTAAAGGCCCTAGGAGTGAGGTGCCTTGGATGCTAGCTTGCCTTACCCTACCTAGTCTTGGTCCTGCTGGTCAGTAACATTTTGCCCATTTATTTATTACCTCCTCAAGTAAATCTGTATACTAGATGGAGAAAGTGTTTATCTGGCATTCTGGTCTACCTTTGCCTGCATAATGAGCTGTAGAAAATTTCCCAGGACCAGCAGTTAGCGTAATGGCTATGTTGCTGGACTCCCATGTAGTCGACTGTGGTTCACATCCCGGACTCAGTGGCTTAAAACTCACGCCAGGCACGTGTGCATGTGTGCCCAAGATCCCAAGAGGAGAACGGAAGAGAAGGAATTGTGGCGTGGCCATCCCCCCTGGGGGGTGATTTCTCGCTTTCTGTCTCTCTGTCTCTCTCTGTCTGGCAAGCACACGTGCCCTATAGCAAAAACCTCTTAAAAAAAAAAAGAAGATTTTCCACTAATCCTAATGCTTACATATTACTGAATTGATACTAACAACGATCTTTTATACATAATTACTACTTCAGTTAATTCATATAAGTTTTAAGTTAAATGCATACTGAGCAATGCCTTTGATTTTAGAAAAAAAAGATGTTTATGTAAAAGTAATTATCAGAATGAATCTTTCAAAGCAGTTTCTCAACCTAAGCACTGTGGGCATTTTGAACCAGATAAATCTTTGTGGTGGGGACTATCTTATATATTGCAGGTTCTTAGCAGCATCTCTGGCCTCCATCCACCAGGTGTCGTTAGTACCCTCCTTAAGTCCTTAAAAACCCTTAAGTTGCCACATTCTAAAACATCTCTAGACATTGCCAGATAGTCTCTGAAGATAAAGTATCCCATACTTGAGAACCACTGCATTCCAGTGTCTTCAATGAAACTAAATATTTTTAACAACAAACAGGACAAAGAAGACTATTTCTGACCAACTGTCTGCCAATACTGTCATTCTGTATTACAGGTTATCAGTGGATGACAGTCAAGTGATAGAAAATGTACTGTGGTGAAAACTGATTTGTAAATGAATTTCATTGCCTATCACTAATGGCATATGAGAAGTCTATGAACGCTTTTCTTCTTATTCTGAAAATTATGGCCTAGCACATTGTTTCACCAGAGAATTTGTTTTCCAAAGTCAATGAGAATTTTTTAAAAATTTCTTAATATCATTAATTTTTTATCGTTGAGATGTCTTTAACAGTCTCACAATTTTTATTACAGCTGACTTATTCAAAACTTTTAAACAAAGTTTGCGCATTGCACTTGCTTTTTTTGTTTTGTTTTCTTTCTTTCTTTCTTTCTTTCTTTCTTTCTTTCTTTCTTTCTTTCTTTCTTTCTTTCTTCTTTCTTTCTTCTTTCTTTCTTCTTTCTTTCGGAGAGATTTTTGCTATAGGGTACATGCGCTCGCCAGAGAGACAGAGAGACAGACAGCAAGAAATCACTCCCTGGGGGGATGGCCACGCCCCCATCCCTTCTCCTCCATTGTCCTCTTGGGATCTTGGACATGCACGCACATGCCCGGCATGAGTTTAAGCCACTGGGTCTGGGACTCGAACCATTGTGGACTACATGGGAATCCAGTGACATAGCCATTATGCCAACTGCTGGTCCCAACCTTGTCTTTCTTTTTGGGATTCTTCAGAAACCAAGAAGACTCAAGCAGAATTTGACCATTAATGAATACATAATGGAGTAACAAATTCCTTACCCACTCTTTTTCCCCTTACCTATGTATGCCACATCCACATACAGTGGTTTTGAGGAACTGCTACCCATCTTGTTAGTGGCACTTATTGTGATGATGTAAATTGTCCATATGGAGGTGTACTTCTTGCTAAAGTAACAGGAGTTGGGGCCACCGGTTTCGTAGTCAGGACATTCATAGATGAGTTTTTCCCTGCAATGAATAATTTATTTGGACTGAATAACAAAGTTTATCTTTCTCTATGTATTTTTACACATCAATACCACTGAAATTTTGAGATTAGGCATTCAAAATGCAAAAATCAGAGCTTAAAAATGGCACCCCAAACTTTTGTACTCTGCCTCTATTGGCTGGGAGTGAGAGAAGAGAGGTGGAGAAGAGAGTGGAAGGGTTATATTAGGGTGTCACTGCTTGGCTTTTCATCAATCCCTCCATTTTGTAAGTGTTTTTTGTGGGTTTTGTGACATATGCCCCCTAGCAGTAAACATTTGAACTTTCACTGGCCAACGCACTGCCATATCCATGGTACTACCATTGGGTTACCTCAAGAAATTGTGGCTTCCACCTGCACACCCACAGTGGAGCCATGCATGAGCAGCAGTTATTGCACATATGTATTATGTTTTATTAAATAAAAGATCCAAGAAGATAAAAACTGATGTCAAAGTACTTCAGACCGTAACCAAGTCTTCAAGGCCACAATGAAGTGACTTTGAAAGGAGATGTATCTGGCCCAAGTAGCTCATTAGGCTGCTCACATTTAGACTTAGGCATCTCAATTCAAGACACATTGCACAGTTTGGGAGCTTATTCAAGATTCTCATTGTAGTTGAATTCCTGAACTCTGTTTACACGATGCTCCCTTAGATCCCAGATGGAATGACAGATTTGTATGCAACAAAGTGTAGTTGTTGGGAAGTGAGCCAGCTGCCTCCACCAATAACTAAATGTTTTCTTTTGGAGGCAAGATACAGCTCTCCCAGGACTCTGCAGAGGGTCTCATTGTGAATGTAACAAAATGGTTGCCCAGAGATGACAAGTGGTCTCATTTAGTACTCATGCCGCCTTAGATCCAAAAACGTCCTCTAGGAGGTCCTGAGTTTTGGATTCACTAAGGAAAATCCTTTCCTTTTTCATACAACGTTCTTTTTCTTTTCTTTCTGGAAGGTGAAGCAAGCTTGAAAATACAATGTACAATGTACTGTGATTGAATATATAACATAAAATTTAAAAAAAGAAAATACAGTGTACCCTGTTTGTCAAAGTTTACAATGTGGTACTTTAGATAGTCTTCTCATGTTGCAAAAGTAATATATTTACTAAATGAAATTATAAATGGCACAAAGTTTGTAGATGAGTATCTCAGATGAACTAGCCCTTAAGTAATACTAATATGAGGCCTTGGCCTATAGCCTAAGATTGTGACAGTTGGGTACCTTGAAACATTGCTAATATTGACAGATACGCTTACATAGATTGAATGAGCACTTAAAGGACCTTAGTAGGAGACTACAGGTACTGATATTAGATTCTCCTTGCCCCCCAAGCTGTGAGCTTTATGAGTATAAATCCAGGATAGTGTGGCAATTCTGACTCAGAGCCAGTATTTCTATGACCTGGAGAGTGGAAACACTCTTCTAGGGGTTACAGGTGAAGAGAGAACTCTTTACCCTTCCCTGTGGTAAGTCAACGTGTAATTGGTAGGAAGTCCTCCATCTGTCCCAGGCTTCCACCAGCAGGTGAATGTTTCCTTTTCAGGAGAACGACATTTAGCGATCTCAGGCTTTCCGGGAGGCGATTGTCCTAGAAAAAGCCAGAAGCCATAGGAATTAATACTGAGAACCATTCAGCTATTCAGCTGTCCCTACTGGTGACAGAGCAGGTTGAGGAAACTCAGGTCAGTGATAAAGTCTCAGGGTGATTAGGCCTAGGGATGGGAAACTCAGAAATGCCAAAGAATCAGCATCCAGCAATGCAGGGCTATTCGTGTATGCATGTGTGTGTGTGTGTGTGTGTGTGTGTGTGTGTGTGTGTGTATGTGTGGTGTGGACTTTGATGTGTGAGGACCTGTGGCTTATTGTAAAATTACACCATTTGTTTTTGGCCAGAGAAATAGAGACAGAAAGAGGACAGGAGAAAGCACCCTCTATGGGAGGATGGTTATACCACAATCCCTACTCCTCCATCTCTTTCTCTTTTGGGATTTTGGGCATGCAACTTGCCCAGCTTGTTTCTCAAGCTGTTGGGTCTAGGACCCAAACTGCATGACTGGCCATGTGGAATCCTGCTGCCTTAATCACTAGGCCTAGGAACTGGCCCCTTTCTATGAAAATTTTTTTTCCTTAATTGTAAAGTTCAACAAAGAGTGAGTCTTGAGAGTGAGAGAGATACAGATGGATTGAAAGCATAAGAAACTTCAAAAATTCATAAGAAAATGAAACTAAAATATTGATTAATTTTGGTCCATTTTTTTTTTAAATTCACACATAGGTTTTTCATAGTGCTTTCCATAGACATTTTTCCAAAAAACTCTAAAACACAGTCCTTCTGGAATCTCATAGGGTCTATAAAGCTATTATTTCTCCGTAGCATAAGCATGACTGTACAAAGAATTCTTCCCCAGGTATAAGCAACCTGTGGATACTTTGACAACACACCCTCTCACTTCCACTATGTTCATGAATCTCCATTGTTCTGACATCCCCACACAATTATCTCAATGTCTGTTCCTGATCTTTAGTTACTTCTTGTATCCCCAATGCTCCCTTTATCTGGATGTCCCTCAGCTGCTTCCTTCCTTTCTCCCCTTGTTTTCCCTTTTCCTTCTTTGGCCCTTCACTTTTTCTTGATTCCATTCAGCTTCGACCTTGTGATCCAGATTTAATTTGTCTTCTCATGTACCACGTTGGAATCTTAATTTTTTGAATCATTTTCTATCCCCTTCCTTTCCTTGGGTCTTTTTGTGGTGAAGCAGCAAAGGGCTTCTTTGCAATCTGAGGAATGGTTTTGGGGTGGGAGGCATGGGAAGAGGAAAGAGAATGGGATACTCTTCTCCTGCTTGTGAGCTACCGTTATTCTCTATGAGCTGTGTCCTGTCCTGGATGGAAACCAGAAGGTCTGAATGAGGCCATGTGGGAAATACAAGTTCAGAGGGATTAGAGTTGTTAGTTGCCTGACCCCCAAATCTCTGGTCCCCGTTTCTCTCGCTTAGCTATCAGGTCCAAGGAGGGGCAGTCTCCTTGGGAATCTGCCCTGGTGTCGCTGGCCTAGGGAAGTGGACCATGCCCATCCATGTAACTCTAGCTCATCCTGTAACTCTGCCCACCGAGATATCCTAGTGTTTAGTTCCGGAAGTTGGGAGCAGAGAAGGGAGCTTTCAGATGTGGATCTCAGCAACTCGGGCAGGCTCTCTGTTTTCTCCTACACTCCCTCCTGCACTCCTCATGCCAGCTGCTAGACCATACCCTCTAGCTGAGCCTCTGATCAGAAAGAGCAAGTGTGGAGGAGACCTCAGTGAGGGAACATGGCTGGGGAGAGGGGTCTTTAGCAAAACCAGCTAGAAGGAAGGATTGAGTGGAGTGGCGATGTGGTGCCCAGGGAACCAGGCTGGTCTTGTCCAGCTGTAGCTGAGCTGTGCTTCTCACTCAGGCCCTGCCAAGAGTGATCTATGCCAGCCTGGTAAAGCTCTGCTAGTGTTTGTAATATTGCTCATGCTCTAGGGAAAGATTGCTCATGCTCTAGTGAAAGATTCTTCAGAATGATGTGTTGTTGGAGTCATGGAAAATATACAAGTTTGTGTTGGTTTGTGTGGCCATGGGTAGGGCAGAATATGTGAAGTAGAAAGAAAAGTTGATTTTAAAAAATATCAAATTCTCTGGTTCCCTACTGAGCACACTTAGAAGCCAATTAGAGAAAACTTGAGGCCAATTTGAATAGTTAATTTTCTTATAGATTATTCTGACATTGCTTTCCTTTCCTCTCTCTGAAAGCTTCTACTTTTACCTTTTACTGGTTATTAATAGTATTTTTAGAAAACATAGAGCGGAAAGAAAGTTGTGAAATTGCATTTAATCAAATGTTCCCTTCACTCACATTAGATAGTAAAGTTAATGTATAGTCTCAATGCACAGAATCACAGGAACAACCACACAGGTCCACATACAGGTGTGTAGACACATGACCACATCAGAAGTGCATATACACCCCACACAGAGATGTACACACCTATGTAGGTACACACTTATAGAAGCACATACTAGTATACACACAATTATAGACACGGAAATATGCACATATGGAAGTATACTGAAATACACACATAGACATATATCCACAGAAGTATATTCACACAGATACACACAAAGAAACATTTGTAATCAGGCCCATATAGAAAAGTTAACATTCACACAGGTACATACAGAAGTATGCACATCCAGAAAAAACAAGGGATGGACACACAGAAATCTACATACACAGCCAGACACCCTCTTACTTAATAGTGGACTTTGCTTCCTCTATTAGCACATGTAATAGGGTTGACTGTTGCTGTTCCTGTTTCCCACCATGTAACAACAATCTCTTATACCTCTCTATTGCTTTTCAAATGTTTTCACATACATTTATTTCAGGGCAGATGGAGAAATCCTCACTATCTTCACTTTGAAAATTTGAAAACCCAGAGATTAATTCGCTGTCTCAAGATCACACAGCTAGTAACTGTAGAACCAGGACTGGAACTCAGGTCCTGTCATCTTCAGAGCTATTTCATTACAGACTGAAATGAAGATGGAAAGCAGGGAGAATAATAACAAGATTTTGTGTTCATTGCATTCGTTTTTCTGCATTGATTTGAATGCAAAAAAAATGCGAATAATTTAATAGCAGTACATGGCATGAACATTTTCATTTCTTAGAGCTGCATTGCAAGAGGACAGCGATGGACTCTCCATCCCCTTGGGAAATACTCTGGGCAATGAAAGCAAGCAGGGCAGTCCTGTACTTACCATTCAGAAGACTGATGTTGAGAAAAAGTAGCAGCATGAAAACATTTGTGGATACCACATTTTGCTTCATGTTGGCTCCCTGCTCTTTCTAGAGGAAATGTACCAGACAGAGGTTCACTGAAAGAGAAGACAAGAGGCAACTTTTGTGAAATGACAGCCTGATCAGGCACATGCACCACTTTATTCGGGGTATTTGCAACTCATTCTTGCTCCTTGCTTAATGTGAATGACAGAACAGGAGGAAAGGAATGTAGGAAAATGGAACATGGCTGAGTGACTTGGCTTACAAGCACCAATCCACACAGGCTGGGAAAAATTCCACCAGCAGAGGTCATTGGTTGACAATGTAGAGAGTTCAAGGGGAGCCGAGGCAGTTGGCTCCTTTGCACACAACAGGAGAAAAATTGTTCTCTTTCCACCTTGCAGTCCCTAACAATATATCACTCGTTTTAAATGACATGGATTGTATACCTTATAAAAGAATCATTCTGGGTGGGCTCCGGCTCTTATACACTGGTCCAAAATAATCCAGGCTGAAAAGTAAGTTCTTTCTCAAACTTGACCCCATGATGGTGCCAAATTGGGGCGGGGAGAGAGGGGGAGCGGGCTTCATTTTGAAGGTACAGACTGAGAAGTTTCTAGAAGTCTGCTGGAAATTGGCATGGACTTAAAGTGAACCACATAATGACCTCTTGTCACCTCCATGTGGTTTCTTTCCTTCTTTTGAAAATCCCCACACACACGAGATAATAAACTCCAATAATAATTTAAATCCCTTGGGTTAAGAGTATTAAGTAAATTTGAACCTGCAGGGGTTAAGAGTTTTGAGCAACTTTTTATTAATATTATTTTTACCCTTGGAACAACTTTCAAAACCTTTAAATGTCCTTCTAAGAAAAAAGGATTTTTAAAAACATTTGGGAAAAAAAAGGGCTCATTAGTTTTGGACTTCAAACAAACAACTCATAAAACAATAGATCTGATGAACTAAGTGTAAATCCTCAGAAACACATGGCTTAAATTTTCTTTTAAATTGTATTGATTTTTTTCAATCAAGAGAACATCCAGGGGCAAGGCTGTTCATCTTGGGACACTGGAAATGACTGAGGGTTGTTTGATGAGTCCCTCTAACACCAGCCTCAGCCCATTCCTTCTAACCAGAGGCTAATTCTCCATCTACTAGCTGGACACCATTTCAAGACATTAAACAAACAAAAACCCAAAAGGCTCATTAGTCTTAGTTTTGAGACAACTCTCAGAAAACAACAGATTTGATGAACTAAGTGCAAATTCTCAGAAATGCATAGCTTACGTTTCCCTTTAAATTGTATTTTGTTGTTGTTTTTGAATCTAAGGAAGCCAGGCTGCCTGTCTTAAGATTGAAAATGACTGAATTGTTTGATGATCCCTTAAAAGACCAGCCTTAGCCCATTCCTCCAGGCCAGAGGGTGATTCTCTAACAGTCTGCTGGATACCACTTAATAAACATCTTTTTTTTTATTTTTTAATTTTGCTATAGGGCATGTGCACTTATGGTGGGGGTGGGAGAGAGACAGAGAGAGAGAGAGAGAGAGACAGAGAGAGAGACAAAGAGAGAGAGAGAACCTCCCAGGCGGGATGACCATACTACAATTCTTTCTTCTCCATTCTCCTCTTGGAATTTTGGGCACACAACATGTGCCTAGTGTGTTTTCAAGCTGCTGGTTGGGACTCAAATTGCACAGTCAGCCATGTGAGATCCAGCCACCTTAACCACTATGTCACTGACTGGCACTGAAAAACTTTTTGAATTTTTTCTCCATAGGCCCCTGTTCTGTCTGAGAGATGTTCAGAAATAAAAATCTTAGTGACAATAAGAGTTTGGGGCACAGAGTTGCCATCAAGTAACTAACTTATTTTAAGAATTCTAGTTCAATAAGACATCCTGGTCAGTTTATGGCTCCTGTGAGGAGTATTGTTCTTTGGGGGCTTTCTACTCACTGTTCCAAGATTCCTTCCACATCTGCCTCAGACTGTGCCTTCTAAAGCATTTGCTCCATTTTATCCTCCAGGATCATCTAATTTAAATCAAGAGGTCAAAGGTTTCAAATGTATATACAATAATGTCCACTATTTTTGAACATCTACTGTGGGCCAGGCATTGGAGAAAGTATGTTAACTACTTAAATTTCATTTTGCCCTCATAACGCCCCTATGAGTAGGGGCAGATGGTCACCATCTTCTTGTAACAGACGATGAAACTAAAGTACAGTTTAGTAAATTATCAGCCATAATTTGGCAAATCTGAGACATCTGATAAATAATCCCAATCAGTGGACAGTCTGCACAGAACCACTGACTCAAGGTGAGCAATATGACATATCTAGAGGGGGGCATGGAGTCCTGAACTAGAATAGAAGAGTCAGGAGTGAGAGGGGTCATCTCAGCTGCCTTACTTATGCCTTAGTATCTTAAAACACTGTCGTTCTCATATACCCAGCTTCATTAGGGCCATATAGCCCCAGAAGAGTGCTTTGTCCTGGCAATCTTGTGATCTCAGTGAGGCATGGAGAAGGGATTCTTCCCACTAACTGAAAAAAATTCTACAATATCCTTCTATTGAGACTTCCTGTTCTTCTGGGCATTGCATCAAAATGTTTGAAATCAATATAAATCATGCCTTTCCGATGGGATCAGATGCTGTCCAGACAGCTCTGCTACATCAGGGATCCATGTGTTTCACACATAAAGCATAGGATGGGAGCAGAGTTAGGGCAGAAAAAATATATCTTGTCATCTGCTCATATTCTCTGACATGCTAGTCCAGGGTTAAAGAAACTCTTCTAAATAGAGTCTTTCCTATAAAAATGCTTTTAGGAGGCATTTTATAGACTAAAATGAAACAACTTTCCTCTGGAATTTCCCAAGACATGTCCTGGAATTTGGTTACTAACCATGGACTTTCTAATACCAAAATCTCTGTGCCAGGGAATTAGAGATACTCACAGTGCGGTTGTCATTGTGTTTCAAGAATGACTTGCCAACTCACTCTGCATCTTAAACCCCAGCAGGCCAAACATAGTGGAATCAGTAAATTAGAGAAAAAATAATGACCACTGCTTATCCCTAAAAAAGCTGTGCTAAATGTTAATCCTGGTCACACATTATAGCAATTCCCAGTACTAAGCCCTCCTCCTGCTTGTCCACTCACCATTTTTTAGAGCTGACTGACACTAGACTTGGGAAAATCTGTTTTTTGGCTTTCTGATTCCACTCTCCAGTGCAGGTTGGATCTTGATCAAGGAAGGCACAGCCCTTCCTTCTTGTTCACCTCGATTGAGGCTAGACTACTCAATGAAGGTCCACAGCCTGTTTTCATGAAAATGATAGCAGCAAATGCCACCAAATATTTGGAGTCCAATTAGCAAAAAAGTCAGCCCTGCACATTCAGCCCAATGGCAATCATCTTAGGTTTCAGAGCTCACTAGTTTCCTGGATGTGACGATGGTTTAAAAATGCAAGAGTTGGAATTCAAGAGCAGGTTGATAACAAGTCTATAGCTCCACACCTTGTCCATGACCACCTGCCTTAGCTTGCTCACTTCTCAGTCCTCAAAGGCTCTCCCAGATTTATATTCCTCCCCATTACTTTATTAAAATACGCCTTGCCATGCTCTGTCCCTCTGTGGTATGGACTGGAGGAAAACCCCCTTTCCCCTCCTATTGGTCTACATCAACACTGATACTGAGTAGAACCTCTCGTTCCGAAAGTTTCTTTTCATTAAGTTCTACTATACCAAATATCTTTCATGGAGGCCAGCAGTTGAGAAAGAGGTCCAGCAATTTATGTGCTGGTAGCTTGTGTTTTTGAAAAACTAGAGCCTCTCTTCCAAGGTGGAATAACAGGCCCACCGTGCTATGGCCTGGGCTGATAATGTTATACACATTAGAAAGGATACACCATAGGAGAGGAAGCAGTGTGATATCCTGAGAGTTAAAAACAACAGATCTCCACTCCTGACTCACCACAACCCACTGTCAAACCCACATCCTTTGTGATACCCACTATTAGCCTTCATCTGTAGTCCTGACCCATCTGATCCCTAAGCTAATCCTGAATCTCTGCCAGTACTCTCAGTCTCCTATTTTATGAGACTTGCTCCCAAGACCTAGAACTAGGTGATCCTTGAAGTAAATGCAGTTCTCATTTTGTCTTGCTGTATCTGCTACTGTTACCCCAATGTTCTACTCAGTTTCTCTGATTCTAGAAATGGGCCTAACATGCTAGGCAGGGATTCTGAGGAATGTTTTAGCTCTTGTGAGCCCACTTCCCTAAAGGACAAGCAAAGCCCAATCTCAGCCGTTCTCTAAAGATTCTACTTAATGTGTTATCACCAAGTGATTGCATTCATTTTGCCACCCAGGTCAAGAAATAGAACACTAACAGCACCCTAGAAATCCAACTTGTGTCTTCTTCCAATCTCTACCCACCTCTTCCCAATAGAAGCCACTCTTCTGACTTCCAACATGATGGTTACTTTTGCTTACTTTGAACTTTATGTATATAAATAGTAGTCTAAAACATGCATTTTTGGAGCCCATGGGCTTGCCTTCTTTCATTCTACATTGTTTTGTGTTTCAGCTTTGTTTTTACATGCCGCTTCCATAATTCCATTCACATTTGGTCTCATGTACCTTCTCTCTTACTACGTTGAATGAAATACCATGATTTATTTATTCATTCTACTGTTGGTGGATATTTGAGTTGCTTTTAGCTTTTAGAAAACTGGGTTTTGCTAAGACTAATCCAGATGTGGATGTAGGGAAGCTCTGCCCATTTCATAGCCATCTTGTGTTCCTGGTCACTTTGGTTTTCTACAGTAAAAGGTGAGGAAGCTGTTAGTGAGACCTCCTGATTATTAACTCACATTACATTCCAAGTGCTTTTCTTGTTTTAAAAATCCAGAAAGGTCTCATATCTCCCACACAAATTTTGAATACATCCATTCATTGTGTTAAGCTTTTGTTAGGCACTGCGTTAGGTGCTTCCTCTGGGGTCCTTTGCCAGCTGGATGGCCTTACTTGTCCTGTTCCATCTGGGTTAGAAGGCCTGAGGCTACAATAACAGAGAGAAAATCT